TTTTTTTTTCGGGAAAAAAAAAAAAAAAAAAAAAAAAAAAGAAAAAAAAACGAAGCTTGAAAACGGCATGCATGGCTACACGCTAACTCGAACGTGCAGAGCGAGCGTGGAGATCGTGGCTCCTGCACGCGTGTACAGGGTGGTACTGGGTGTTGTATTTAGATTAACGTGCACATTGCATGCAGCGCGTGCCGCACGCGCGCATTCTCTTTATGCAACCAACACACGGGCGCGGCGGCGGAGGACATGCTTCGAAATAGTTACAGACGAGTGGTCTGGGCGAAGAAAGAAACACAGGTATGTACACGGTATATAAAGTAAATGTAAAAGTTGGCCGATCAAAGATACACAGTCAAAAACCTTTGGTCCAATCCTTATAGTAAGGCAGTACATTTTTACGGATTTAAAGTCGAGCAGAGAGAGAGAGAGAGAGAGAGAGAGAGAGAGAGAGAGAGAGAGAGAGAGAGAGAGAGAAAGAGATAGATAGATAAATAGATAGATAGAGAGAGAGAGACAGAATGAGAGTGTGTGTGTGTGTAAATAATTACACAAAGACAGAGATAAAGAGAAAGAGCGTAAAGGGTGAGAGAAAGGAAAAAGAAAGAGGAACAAGGGCACGTGTACAGAGACGTGTCTGTGTGTGTATGTGGAACAAAATAACAACGTCGAATTGATTCTCGAAAGAGGAAGAGGAAAAAAAAGAAAAAAAGAAAGAAAATTCTGGACTTTGATGAAGCAAGGGTGTCGGCGAGCTGTGAATCAAATCCACAAGAAATGGAAAGACGAGACGCAATGTGAGACGCGAGAGTCGAACAGACACGGAATGATCAAATAAAAAATGAGGATGACAATGAGATGACGATGATCGAAATGATGCGCGTATCAAAAGCACAGCGAACGTTCCAAACGACTGCAACAAATCATAATGTAACGAAACAAGCAATGAAACTTCTTCTTTTTCTTTTTTTGTATATCCGAAATGTTCGAAAATATCTACAGGTTGATTTTCCGTTAAATAACTCGACGAATGTTCTCTGGAGAAAAAAAGCAAGTGGTGGAAAAAAAGAAATCGTGCGATCTGTATCGTCGAGTTATTTGAAGATTGCGAATTGCACGGGTCGATTTTGCCAAGTCTTTCTTCTCTTTTTTTTTTAATCTTTTTTTTCTTTTTTTCTTTAACTCATTTGCATTACGAATGTTGGCGACGTTTGTCCTTTTGAACTCCGACGTTTCGTTAATCGGCGTTAAACAGAGCAAAAGTAAATATCGTTGAAAGCGATCCTACAAAGTGGTCCTGCGGTTCGTTGGATATTTGCGAAATGCAAATGGGTTGATCGATGAATAACTCGACGAATTTTCGTTCGACGAAAGCAAACACAGAGAGAGAGAGAGAGAGAGAGAGAGAGAGAGAGAGAGAGAGAGAGAGAGAGAGAGAAAATACGGCGGACGTTGTCGAGGACAACGTAGACCGACAGACAGTTCTTTCTCTTCTCTCCCCGTACATAGATGCATGTGTCTTTTCTTAAACAACGGTCGGCGAATCGCGCGGATGACAGGATCGAGTGGAGGAGCGAGCGGTTGCGCATTCGATCACGTGCAACGTCCGAAGAAAACCTCGTCACCGTGATCGTCGCGTTTTCCCTGTGGTCGGAGTCACACGGGCAAACTCAATCCCGGGAAATCCAATGTAAACCTTGTGTGTCGAGAACAGAGACAGGGTTGGGGTTGGGTGGTTGAGGGGAGGGTGGTTAAGGTTACACACCTTACTATAAGAAATGGATTGGAACGAGTGTGTCTGACGAGTGTGTCGAGATTCGTTCGTCGAAACTAACCTCGTTTCGTTTTCGAAGAGAGAAACAACGCGCGGTATATCGAGAGTCAGTCAAACGACGTTAGTAAGTCTTGGTACCAACGGTCAAAAAAAAAAAAAAAATTTGTCGCAAAAGTTGTGTGTGTGTGTGTATATATATATATATAATACATATATGTATGTATGTATCTAAGAAAGAATAAATTGATAAATACAAGAGTATACAGTGATAACGTAATGTAACAACAAGGAGATTGTTGATGCGAGAAGGCCAAGTGAGAGCTCGTTAAGGCGCGTAGCGCGTAGCACAACAGCCGAGGATTTTTGCGCGCTTTCATGAACCCGCGCGGGAGAGAAAACAAATGTGTTTTTTTTCGTGCGTGTCGAGTATGTTCTCTGCCGGTACGTGTCGGGTCTGAAAAAGCGGCTGGGATATAGCGGGATAACGAATAACAAAGCTCTAGAACTACGTTACGTTCAACGAGTCGAGGCACCAGCTGTAAACAGATGCACGTGGTGGCATTTAGGCGGGACAGGGTATTGTAATCCTTGCAACAGGTCGAGTCAGTAGATTCACAGCCCTGACAATTAAGCTCTTAATGCTCCTTCTAAATCCAACAACTGACTATCGCTTGATACGTAGCTTTTTTCTTTTTTTTTTTTTACTGATACGCTACTACTGATACGACTCGTTGCGTGGCTTCTAGTTGTAATTCTTAGACACGTGGTTAGATGTTATCCATCAGCTTTACGTGTATCTAACTTTTGCGTAACATTGTGGCTAAAATATAGACTGAGAAGAAAAAAGAAAAAGAGAAATACACGAAAAGAAGAGGACGTTTCCTGAGCGAGTAAAACAGTTTGAAAAATTTGAATAAAAAAATTGAAGCGATCAATTTGTTCAGCCTCGACTCATTGAGCGTAACGTAGATATCGATGGTACGTTTAGACTAAACAAACGCACCGTGAAATGCAAACAACGCAACGCGACTAGAGGATTCCTGTTCCAAGTGTGTAGATACACGCGCGTGCTAAACATACACATATATACTTTGATCCGTGTAATTTTTGACATTACGCAACATGTATTTGAACGTTGGATCGTTGCGCGTGACACGATGAATTTATACAAATACGTAACGTTGGCGATCATTCGGGAAAAGTGCTGCTAAATCAATAAAATTTCACTTCACCGACCTGCTTCCATGCTCTGATTGTAATTCAATCGATCAATTAATTTCAGAAAAGCTACGAATCTTCGGCTATTTCATTCATGGCAATCGTCTAATAATCACGTTCTTAGCACGATATTAAGGTATTTACGAATCAAAGTAGGCGTATGTTCGATACACTTGCCCTTTTTAACTCTCGGATAGCGAAAGCTACGTTTCACATTTGTTAATATAAATTGCAAGTATTATCGTGTCGCGGTTAATTACGAGTATCAACGTATCGCCGAGAGTTGATGCACGTTTCGTGTTGATGCCCTATGTATGTACGTATGCAGGTACGTACGATTAATCTCGATCGTAAGAGTGAAACGTCCGCGAGTCAGTAGTACGTACCGGCGCGGGTCAGACAACTCTCGCGAACAGAAAGAGAGAGAGAGAGAGAGAAATTTGTTGGCGTGCGTGAAACTATCTCCAACCTTTTATCGCGACAATTAAAAAACCGAGCTCTATCGCGTGTAAAGAATACATACATACATATATATATATATGTGTGTGTATGTGTGTGTGTGTGTGTACGCATGTATGTATGTATGTATGTATGTATGTACGCCTACGACGACAAGAATTCGCTTGGAAGCGAATCCCCCTCGAAGAATTCCGCCAAACTTCCACGTACGATTTCTTTCTTTGCTTTCTCTCTCGTTACCGCTCAAACACCGTTTCTTTTCTCCTCTGCACAGAAAAAGAAGAAGTAGAAGAAGAAGAAACAAAAAAGAAGAAGAACGAAGAATTTGGCAAAATGCTTCGAGCGTCGTGAAGGATGAACAGTTATATGAACAATATGTGACGACTTGTGCGGCAGACATCATACCGACGAAAGGAATATATATATAGTATGTATATATATATATATATATATATATATATAAACAGATGTATATCTGAGTATGTGTGTGCGTGCGTGCGTGTACGTGTGAATACGTATATCTGGATACAGTGGCCACGGTGTAAATGTACATGTGTATCGCGTGTCACGTCAGGGTATATATGAATATTTATATATATATATATATATACATATACATATACAATGAATATTTATATATATATATATAGAGGTTGTGTATATATATATATATGGTATATAAGATAGTACAGAATAATAATGGTAATAATAACGGTAATAATAATAATAATAATAATGGTAATAATAAAAAAGTAGAAATATTAATAATAATAATAATAATAATAACAATAATAATAATAATTAATAATTTATAAATATATGAATCAGTAAAAAATTACTCGTGACTGGTCTGTATGGCCTCCTTGAAGTTAGTACTCCACTTCCAGCCATACTAAAAAATTAATATCATATTCACTATCTGTTGCCTGTAACCTGCGTTCTATAGTTCTTATTAAAAAGGAAAAGTAGAGATATATATATATATATAGAAAGGAAAAGTATATATATATATACGTATAATACAGAGAGAAACATTATTTCTTTTAATCGACAAACAGTCTAATTGAAAGATCGCTGGTCTGCGTAACCCGCGTCGCTTGTTACGTATAGCACTCGTATAGCATATATAATATATATGGGACCACGTAGAAATGGCAAAGCGTCATCATCATCATCATCATCATCATCATCATCATCATCATCATCATCATCATCATCATCATCATCATCATTATCATCGTTAGAGCTGATCGAACTTCTCGCTTCGCTCGTATATACTATCGGAAAGAGAGAAACAGAGACAGACAGACAGACGGATGGACGAAGGAACGATATACCACGCAAATACATACATATATACGTACGTATGTATGTCAGTTCTCGCGTCCAGTCCGCTGGCTCTAAATTCGTCTCTTTCGAACGAAGACTTTTGACAAGTCTGACAAAAAAAAAAAAAAAAAAAAAAAAAAACAAGAAAAAGGAAAAAGATATACATTTACATCGTCGTAACGTACCATATTAAATAGATGGGAACAAACGCTCTTTGATTCTCGTCGCGACGCAGATTTCTTTTTCTTTCCTTAAGTCACAACTAACACTGAAAATGATCTGACAAAACACGGTCGCCGGCACTCGCGGTCATTCGAAACAGAAGAAAGGGGGAGAGAGAGAAAAAAAAAGGAAAGAAAAAACGGAGCAGAGAAAAATTGGGAGAGAGAGAGAGAGAGAGAGAGAGAGAGAAAGAGACAGAGAGAAAGACAGAGAGAGAGAGAAAACTTTCGGCTTTCGTGGCTCGACGACCAAGACTCGTTTTGTCACATCATACACTGCTAAATGTATAAAAATATATCTATACTATCGGGAATACAGCAAACACTGAAAATATATTGGTTATGGGGGTTGATCAGGGGTGGAGGGGTCCATGTCACAAAAAAAAAGAGACACAAGTTGGAGGAAGATTCACGCGATTCGAGAGAAACGCGTATCTATGGCTTTTACTGCCCCAATCCTTTACCTCTAGAGCAACGAGACCTCTTGTTTTCTTTCTTTCTTCTGGTCGCTGAACAGCCAGGTAGCGACGGTAGGTTCTCGGTACGAGAGACGAGCCGCTCGTCTCGTATCGAGGAAAGGTTTACATTAGATTTCAATTCAAGGAACGAAAGACCAAGAGATCCATGGATCCAACGAAGATCCTTCAACGCGAGGAAATGGTATGTATGTTCGCGAGTTTGAAGTCACAGAGAAGGCACTGCAGGCACGAGATTGTCCCGAAAGAGACTAAACTGATTGTGAGACCGATTCTTTTTACCCCTTCGGACATTAGGCGAGTCAAGCAGAGTGTGTATTTCGGTGGCACGGCTTTCGCAGTGTGTTTTGTGCCGACTGCGTGTGAAACGTTACAAACGTGTATGTTTGCTGCGTGTACTTGTGTGTACGCGTGTGCGTGTGTGTACGACTGCGTGTGCGTGTGTGTGTGTGTGTACCCCGTCGTTTGTAAGTATTAGGACACCCGACAGGATATTCACGTTAGAAAGCAAAGGTTCGAACCAAAGTCCAGAACTTTGGACTTGTACAAGATGATGTGGAACAAGAGAGTTTGAAGAAACTGCCTATGAAAATGATAAGATTCTAGAGAGAAATACAGTACACGGCAGAATTGATGAATAGAATCGTCACAGGATGTTTTTATCGGTGATGAGAAGTAATTATTATTACGTTTCTTACAAAAAAGTAAATTTGGTTCTTGCCAAAAATTGCCATACACATTCGTTACACAGACAGTCGGCTAGGCTCTTACAGGTTCTAATAATTAGACTACGCAAACACATATTCTGATCCTTGATCAAAGGATTGATCAACATTACGTTGTCAAACGTAACTGACGAGGTGAGAAAAAGATCAGGAGCATGGTACGAAACTGATTATTTCAAGTTTCAAATTGATTCTTCATAAGTGTCCTAATACTTATGAACGAGGGTGTACATACAACACGCATACAGAATACACGAGAGTGTGTGTACCAATACTAAAATTACGATATGTATATATACATATAGTTATAAATATATATGTGTAGACAAAGTTCTATGTCACTCGTTGCATGCGCTGTTTAGCATAATGGGATATACGGGGTAAGCGGTGGTCGGATTATTAAACGTTTCAAACGTCACTGCAAAAAATACCACATATCGTCTTACTCGATTAGGCCAAGATAGATCTACAAAGCATGAAGTGATGTATCTCTGACGCTACTCGCTCATTTCTCAAACAACGAGAAACTGTATCCGCAAAAAAAAAATAAAATCGCAGACCCCCGAGTCGTCGAGAGGATTCTACTCTGGATCGCGCGTGTGATCCCTGTACACACGCTCGTGATTTTCTCGAGAAGCTGCTGCTTTTTGTGGCCGGTCGCGTGTAAAGTTCTCTTTCGTTTGCGAATACGACATATACGAGAAAGGAATCCATAGATCGACAAAATCTGCTCAACGACAATTTCTCGACACGATCGCGCAAATGTCCCACGAGGAAATACACAATGCGACACTGCGTTTCTCTTGTCCCGTGTCGAGTGCCTTTTTGTCATCAATGATACGCGAACACTTTGCATGTTTTTTTTCCTTTTTTTTTTTTTTTTTGGCAAATTAAAGGCTTCTTTCGTTCTTCATTCTTTTTCGGAAGGGGGCAGAGAGGTTCCCAAAGCGCGACAAAATTGGATCACTCTAGGATCGGTTGTTTTCGGAGGTTTTTTTTCACTCGGGGAAGATTTCCATGCATCGGGCATCACTCGGGAATAGGGAATAGCATGAGAAAAAACGAGGATCCAGATTTCGGGGCGTTTCGGGATCGGGATGTGGACAAATAAACGGATAGTCTGATAAAGACGGGATAGAAAGAGAGAGAGAGAGAGAGAGAGAGAGAGAGAGAGAGAGAGAAAGTGAGAGACAGACAGACTAGATAGATAGATAAATAGATAGATAGATAGATAGATAGACAGATAGATAGATAGATAGACAGAGTGAAACTGAAAGAGAAAAAGAAACAAAAGACAGCGAGCGAGCGAGCGAGCGGGGGCAAATGAAGCGTTACCTTGGAATGTTGAGCGGAGGTCGGTGTTATCGGTGGCGTTTCCTCGGCGTCTACGCTCGCTGCTGCGTTTGGTAATCGCTGCTCCTGCACCGACGCCAAACTGTGAAACAACACACGGGCAATGGTTCATTTTCAACGAACGCCAGCGCCAATCTTTCCGCTCGTTTGTTTCTCCCCCAAATGGAATTCTGCGCCTCGAAAGTACAGTAAGCCTCGTAATCATCGAGTTACGACCTTTCGTCGCCTTTCCAACCGCTGCGCTTGCGCGAAAATTTTTGCTGCTCGTTCGTGTTTCGTCAAGATCCGTTGGAACGACGAAATAATTGGAAAAGTCTCGAACGGCCTTGACTCGATGATCGGCGACTGTAGAGCAACGTTACGTACCGTTTGAGCGTCACGAGGGTACTGGTGAGCTTTTTGCAACGCTTCAACGCCGACTCCAGTCGCTCTGGCTCCTCCTTGAGGAACTTCTCCGCTCGTACGACCATCTCCATCTCAGAACTCAACAAACCCTTCATACCTTCCTGAAGACTCGGGAATCGCACCTTCAGATCAGCCACCGTTTTGCTAAAACGAGAGAAGGGAGGGAGACTCTCGTAATCTCGAGATTACGTGAAAGACGTGGTAAAAGGTTGGCGGTGCAATGCAAAGTGTAACATCTCTCTCGATGAAACGAAGAGGATTGATTCTACTTCTAGCGTGTCCTCTCTTTACCTGGATTTGCTCATTATCAAGGCCATGTTTTCCACGTCCGACATGTTGACCCTCGTCTTCCTGTTGATGACGTTGCCACGCAGTTCCTCCACCGTGTTCTCCAGCTCGCTGAAAGTAGCAGATCGTGTGTCGATCACTGCTCGAGTTGAGAATGAGAGCAGTCGAGGGAGACACGGGAGAGTAAAAACGAGAAACACGTACGTCAGATCTTTTACCAGCCTCAGCATCTCCTGCCTGTAGAGGTCTTCCTCGCGGCTCAGTCGAATCTTCTCCGCGTCCCAGGCTGCGTCACCGCACGACAGCAACATTGTTCTACAATGTACACACATTGAAATTAGAAACACGGCGTGCGACAGAATTCCTAGGTTGTCACTTGTTATTGTTGTCGTTTTTTTTTTTTTTTTTTTTTTTCATCTTTTGTCGTCTCTCGATCGAGGAGTGACGCTGGTGAGTATAGAGCGCAGAGCGATTGATTTGCCCACCTGATGGTGAAGAACGTGTCCAATATAGTCTCCCGTATGGTGTGCGCCTGGGTTTGAGACATGCGCCTCAGATTTCGCACTTCCTGCTTCAAGTCCTTCGCCTTTCTCTGCAGGCCGCGCAGTTGATTGTACATTTCCGGTGTTAGCGCCATGTCCCGATAGACGTATTGGCCGCCGACCAGCGCTGCCGGTTTCGGTGGCGGAGTCGGTTTGTGCCTGTCTCTCTCTGAAAACGATTCGTCGGTCGAGCGTCAGCCACCATCGTCCTCGTCGTCGTTGTCGGCTTTGCACGATATTATTATTACCGTGCCCGCGTCTAATTGTAAGTATAAGTGGATAATCAAGCGGTGGAACTTCCGCCCGTTGAACCGTGCGAGAATCGTTCGGCTTGTTCTTTCATCGTCGTTTTCCTGCCAATGGGAAGTCTGGTAGTTGGAAGAAACCGTTGCTCGAGATGGGAGACGTGCGATTGGGAATCAACTTGCGATTCGAGGGATCGTGGCGTGTACAGAAATCGATTCGATACTCCAGTATCCGGTTCCAACCGGACTCGGTTCGAATTTTTGAAATTTCCCCGGCGACTCGCTTTGGAAACTCGCGCGAACAAACATTTATTTGGAATGTTCTACTTGAGTGGTCGGTACCGCGTCTACTGTCAACGATGTTTCAATGTACAGGATAAATAGAAAAAAGGGTAGTCGTAACTTTTTAGGGTAGATGGTGAAAAAAAGAAAAAAAAGTCCTGACAAACATGAAACTGTGAATTTTTGAAACGCTTGGTTTATTAAGAAAGACCTTTCTTTTCTTTTTCATGTTCCGGCTATCGAGTATTGTCCTGGCACCCTACAAGTTACAAACCCTTTTTTCCTACTCATCCCATAGCCACTTGTCGTTGATTAACGCGACGTTTTTCGCACGATCAAAGAGGCGGGCTGGTGCGTACGAACTGGAGTGGAGTGGAGTGGAGTGTACGGAGGAAGGGAATGTGACACGTCGTACAATTTTCGCTGTCATTTCTGTCGTTACGACTTTTATTGGTTAGGCGATGAAAGAGCTACGAAGAGGGCAGGGATCGAGAGGGACGAGATAAGTGGACGGTGATGGGGCGATGGTACCTTGGCCGTGGACGGTGAAACGATCATGCGTGTACGTTTTACAGGACGTTTTACCTCTGTAGCGAGTGAGTTATCCTCTCGAGTCCCAGGATAATCTCCCATCTAATTTATAGAAACTGTGCGATCGAGCGAGGTGAGCTGCGTCGAAAAACGTTTCTTTTAGATCGCCGGTTTACATTGCGAGTTGCGTGCAAATTTTTACATTGGTATTTAGAAAATTTAACGGCAATTGGATTAAAAAACAATTAGTAGAAAGCAGCACTCGCACGCTGTTTGAACACTTCCCATGTCCCATTCGCAATTTCGCGCACGGCGATCGCGACGTCGCTTTTCCAACGCACTCTCCCAACGATCGTCGCACACGCAGGCGGCAGACCGTGTGCATCTAGGATTAAACGGTGCGTCGCTGGGTCGACGAGCGGTTAAGAGACAACAGAAGAAACATACACCGTACCTGCATGTATTTAACACAACACAGAATTGCGGACCAAAAACCGAACGAAACAAATGAGAGGGGGAAAGAACGGCTGGAAAGAGAGAAGGGTGTAGAGAACGAGCGACCAATATAGGTTAATTCGCATGAACAGAAGTGGAGGTAACGAGACACACAAGGTGGACACAGGTTCGAAGCGTAAAAACACGAAACAGGTTTACCTTGCGAAGACATCCTCGGCAACGTGGAGGATTTGATCGCTGGTTTCGTTGGTTTTGTGTCCGCTAGTTGCGATGGAAGGCATTGCACGAGAAGTCGTTAGAGATTATTGCGTTAGTATCAACTACTCGGGGTTGAGGATCTTTACCCTCTCTCTCTCTCTCTCTTTCTTTCTTTCTCTGAATACGTTTTTACCCTATGATGCTTGAGAGAGAGAGAGAGAGAGAGAGAGAGAAAACGGTGGAGCTGCGAGGCACTCTTAATCCGCCGGGTTTGAACTAGGCCCGATATCCGTGCGGTTACCGATCGATCTGTAATTACAGGGTAGAGAGAGAATAGATCGTCAGCAATTTTCTTTCCCCGGCTGGCGATTAAGCCAAGAACGCTGTTGACCCAGCTGGACTCTCGTATAATTTCGACAATAACCACCGGCTCTCTATAGCACGATCTCTATAGCCATTAATATCCGAATAATTATTCATAATGGAATTTTCATTTCATTTCGAATACGGTGGAAAGCCCGTGCAGCGCAGATGGAGATAGGGTGTCGGAAAAAAAAGAAGATTAAATTTAAGAAAATTTGACAGACGACAGAGTTAAATTGACTAAATTAAATTAAATTAAATTAAATTAAAGATCCTTTTGTGATCCTTTTACTTAATAATCCAACGATCCAATGATTCCACGAAGGAAATTCGCAGCTCCACCCTGTCTTTCTTTCTTTTCGGTCATTTTTCGAAAAAAACAGTGGCTCGATTCTCCGAGAGGAGCGTGCTTACAATTGGCAAAACGTATCGTGTATATAATATATATATGTATGTATAATTTGATAAAATGAGCGTTGACGGTTTACCTGCGTGCTGCGGGGAATGCTGCTTGGGGGAATTCATGTCTGGTGGCTCGTCACTGAAGGACACTGACTTTTCAAACGACACCGACTTGTCTGGAATAGAGGATGATCAGAGCATGTTTCTTGTGACTCACGTGCTAAAGAAGGCTTTTTTTTTTTTTCTTTTCTTTTGGTTACAGCGAACGGGCGTGCGCGCAACAAACCTTCGAAACGAAAGAAAATGGTGCTAAACGGTCGAGGCGTAGTCGAAAGTAAATGCAACGAGTTTTTCGTGCATCGATCGGAGGGGAACGAAAAATGTACGCGGCTAACCCTCCGTCAAACGTGGCTGGAATCTGCTTCGCGTTTGTCGTCTCAATCGAGAAAATAAGTATGAAATAAACAAGTCGAGATCTATAACAAATTTAGAACGAGTTAACCGCGAGCTTTAAAAATTTCGCCCGTGCAAAATTCAGAATAAAATCAAACACCTTAAATGTCATTGCCATTTTGTCATCTCTATACATTTATTACTTGCTTGGTTTCTGTACAAAAAAAAAAAAAAAAGGTTACGATCGAAGAGTCTCATTTAGAAAGAAAAAAAAGAAAAAGAAACGATACGAGATTCGAGCCGAACGAATGCACGGAGGGTTGTTGAAAGAGAAGCTGGTCGTCAGGGCGAAACCGTTACACGACGTTTGCAAGAATTGAATTTGTAAAACGCGATCGACGTTGTACAGAGAAAGAGAGAGAGGCCGGCCGGCGATCGCGACGAAAGTAAGGAGGATCGGTGCAAATCGGTGCGACTTTGCGCGTCAAGATGCGCGCGGGCGGCATTGTGCTGGACGATGCAAAAGAAAAACCAGAAAGAAGCATGGTGTGAAAGTTGTGGCGTGAGAGAAAGACGGAGAAAGCGGCGTGCAGTGCGCGGATTGCGCGATCGTATGGCAAAAGAACGGAAAAAGAAAAAAAAGAGCCAAGAGAATGCGTGCGATTGGTGCACGGGTATAAAATAGGAGAGAAACGTGTATATCTTGTGAACCGCACCTTTGCCTAATTTTGGTGGTTTTACGTCAGTCCTTAAGTACGAGTCATCTGTAACGGCAGGTTGAGACACTTGAATTTTACAAAGGAGAACCGTTTTAATCACACTGGTTAAACGTAGGGCACTATTATAAAGTTTATATAAGTAACAGTAGTAACAAGTAGTAGCAGTAGCGATAATAATAAGAATAATAAGAAAAATACTAAGAGTAATAATATATATGTAAGAATATAAGAATAATATAAGAACAATAACAAATATATTATATATACATATGCACATATGTATGTATATATGTATATATATATATATATATATATATATATAAAACAGCGGTTACAGTGATTCGAAGAAAAAAAAAAAAAAAAAAATAGAAGATAGAAGAAGATGAAGAAGACACACCTGGCAATGAGGCAGAGCTGGAGCTAGAGTGTTTGTCGAACTCGTCCCCGGCGCCTGGTGTGTGCGTCAGTCGGAATAACAAAGCAGTTGTACAGCAGGGTTCAGGAAACTTAAACATCGCGTTACGACACGTGGCAGTGGTACCGTATCTTTTTTTCGTTTAAAAAAAAAAAGAAACGAACTCTACTTTCTATCGTAGAAACTTGTATACAATATATACTTTTCGTTTCTCGTTCCGTCTCGTTCCGTTTCGACGTGATTTTTCGACGAACGTCGTTTTAGCGGCGTGCCACTGCCACTGGCATAAACGCGTGGCGCGAAAAAAACGTATTGTTACATCTAAACGAAGACGCAGCTTCGCAGACAGCCACGGGTGTCTGTTCCGCTGCTCCCTCCGGCGCGAATCGACCGCCGATTCGTACATCCGACAAATATCTAAAGAAGGACGACAGAATCGAGAGAGAGAGAGAGAGAGAGAGAGAGGGGGGGGGGAGAGAACGCGCTGAATAGGAATACGATTGATACTAGAAGCTAATTGTAAGGGCCGGACGCAGCATTCACGCAGAGAGAGAAAGAGTGAGAGGCGGTAAAGCGTCGCAGAATGAAACACCGTTTCGAGACGAAACGAGCCAACGCCTCTAAGTGTGTCCAAGTGCGACGAAAGATCGGATGATCGGGAAAGAAAAGAAAACGGCGAAATGTTTCGCTTCCAACGAGAGGGGCGTGGAAAGTTGGTCCTTCCACCCTCGCGGGAGAGAGCGAACGCGGAAACTGTGAAAACAAATTTCACGAGGGTTGAGAGAAGATGGTAGATGGACGGCGAAATGGAAAGAAGAAAAGAAAAAAAGAGAAATGTAAACGCGGTAAACCAAGTGACGAACGTTCCTTTCGCAGACGAGAGAAAGAATGAGAGAGAGAGAGAGAGAGAGAGAGAGAGAAAGGGAGAGAGAGAAAGAGAGAGAACCGAGGGCAGCGCGTCCAAATGGAGGAGAAATATCTAACGCAGACTATTAGTGTTTGAGCTAACGTCGGTCGGTGGAATCTGTGACGATGCGAGTGAACGGGGGGTGGGTGGGTGGGGGTGGGGTTTACGTACCTGGCCCTCTCGCGTATGGATCGCGTCCCGCGGGAACTTGCAGGTAATCACGGGGCGATGGGCTGGTGTGCGGTGCGTGGGTCAGGGCCTTCTGCACCAGACCCGTCAGGTTCGCCAGCTGCCTCTCCATGTGCTCTACCCTTATCCTAGAGAAGGAATTGAGCGAGTTTCGAATGACTGTTTGGACATTGGTGGTTCAGACAGCACAGAGCGTTGTCCGTCGACGTCTTTAGACACTCGCTTCGAGAAAACCTTCGACATCGACTGTTTCTCGAAGACGCAGAGATATTTCGCGAAATTTAGATCGAAGGACAGGCAACAACGTTCGCGACGCAGGTGCTGTCTGAAATGCTTGTCGTATACTAACGAAGAAATGAAAAATCTAGAGTCTAAAGTCGGACATGGCGTGTCTTTCGAGAAAGCGTTCCATAGGATGCACGTATGCATAGATGTACAATATCAATAAAATATCAATTGTCGGTAACGAGAAGGAACCGCGTGCAACGTTCGTTCCGCGTAACGACTAACCTCGCGACGACTTCTAAAAAAAGAGAGAGAGAGAGAGAGAGAGAGAGAGAGAGAGAGAAAAAGCCTACGTCGCGAGAACGCTATGCACAAAAGCGCTCAGATACACATTCTCTCTACGACCGCTAGTCGGCATGCTACATTCCACACGGGGTCTGTGTATTCTCACGTACACAGTGCCGAGCCGTCCTCCGGGCGAAAGGGTCGTTAATTTTCGCCCCTAAAATTCCCGTCCTTTCGATCGGACACGGCCGCGTGCACATTCTGCATTCGAAAAAAGTTTCTGGATCGACGCTGTTTTTTTTTCGTTCAAACGAAACGAAAGTTTCGCCCTCGTGAATACGGTTTTTACTCGGATTTGGTGTTACGGCGTTTGAATATACTTTTACGGCCCACGTCGAGAATGTTTACGAGCTTTTATATACGTTTTTGTGTGTGTATGTCTGTGTATGAGAAGTAGAGATTTTTCTGTCGAATTGCAAGTTGCAAGTTAAAAGAGCCAAACTCCTCTAAACGCGAACTGAAAGTTTCATCTCGAGTGACCGGTGCCGTTCGAGACAAAGTGGCGGCCGAGTTGACTCGACGACTAAAGCGTTAAAATTTCCATCAGAGACGTTAAAGCGAAAGAAACGGGAAATCTTTGAAATTCTAAATAGGGCGAGCAAAATTTAATTTACGCATTTGACGAAGAATCGTCCAAGTCTTTAAAAACACAATGTTTCGTATCGATAAAGTATCTAACATTCAAATGGTCATTTTGACCATTTTGGTAGTTCTAGTGTCGAGACAATCGATCGATGATCACGTTTATTGTATTCTCCGTATATCGTATGTTGGATTCGTAGATATCGCACGCTGCTGTCCAAGGAGGATGAAGCAATGTCGATCGATCGATCGATTCAACGTCAAGAAGACGTTATTCGAAAAAGTTACTCGAGAGAAAGGAGGAGCAACGCGTTGCCAATTAATTTTCAAGCGATCTTTCCCTTCAAGTTGATTGCACTTTATTATATAATTTCAGCCGCTTTTATCGCAATTGGTTTACTCAGGTCTTAAGCTGGCTAATCTAAAGTTTACGCTCGTAACGTAACAAGTTTTTTTCTTTCTTGTGATACGAGATAGTTTAGTTAGTACGCGAAAAATAACAATAAACGAAGCACGAGCGTTGTATCAATTAGTTTAGTATTGGATAATTAATTGCAATCGTCGGTAAGGTCTCAAGTAGACGATGGTAATAAGGCGAGTTACAGTGACCGTGTACTGTCGATGCAGAAACCTTCTTCGATCCACGCGTCTATTCGAGCAGTACGTCGCGGCGCGAGAAAACGTTGCGAACTCTGCGTTCTCCACGTCGAACATAGCCTATCTTTTCCTTTTTTCTCCATGCATGCCTCATGACGCACACTATACACATGCATTGAACGGACGACGCCCGTTCCGAGGGGAGGGGCGGGGGTGGTGGGAGAGAGAGTGTTTCCGAGTTTTTCAACGGCCGAGAACGGAGGTATCGTGTACGTGGTCGGTTTCGAGGCGAGGCTCCCTCGGGTCAATGGAATCGGCGGGAATGTGCCGATCGATGAACTCGAAACGCGGGATATCGTGGAATATTATCCAGCAGGCGCCGGTGGCGACGATGAACCGGGGGTATAAATAACCGGAGGTCGATGGAGGCTAAAGGGAAGCTAGCACACTTTTCACTTTCCCCAGCCGTTACTCTCTCGCGATCCTCCGTGTTCTGCCGTGATCAATTTCTGCCATGGGCAATAGGCACCGTTGCCAAGGCACCAGTGCAAGGGCTGCAAAAAGTACTTGCTGCTTGTTAATTTAATTGGAAGCGTATGTCGAATTTTCTACCTTGTGTCTCCTTGACGCACGACCACGACCACGACCACGACCACGACGTCTCGACGGAGACGTTCGCCAAGGTTAATACGTATAAATTATAAAAAAATGTTTCTCTACACACTTGATTAGTGTGTAGGTACTTCACAGTTACCTACTTTGTTCAATTTTATTTAATTACTTTCATTTATCATTCGCACTGAAGAAGTTGGTTCCTCGACCAACCGGAGACGAAGCGTGCAAGTACTTTTCGCGGCTTCCACCTCCCTCCCCCCCTGAGAACGGCAATCGTGCCGTCTATGAACGTCCATCACGACGAGAACGACGCATTCACAAGCGCATTCGTATATACTTCTAACCAGACGATACAATATATATATATATCGTATGTACGTAGCTTAAGTAGAAACAACCGGCCACGGTCAGACTCGAAGTCTCCTTTCAAAAGAGGAGGATTGAAAGTCTGAATGGAACGTCGGCTAGAGATGCTACTATCGACGATGTTATCGACAAGCATCGACTCGACGTAACACGAGCGATCGAGGCAAGTTTAATGCAAACGACAATGAGAGAACGTTCGCAGAAAATCTACTAGCGGAGGTTTACTACTTTTTATTCGATAAATATGTCACGAGGTTCCAACACCAACGGAACAACTATTATTTATTTCATTTGCGTGTAACGATTTGTCGAGTATGATACGACCTTTTTACAACTGATATACACTCTGATGTATTTACTACTATTTTATTTTCTTTCATCATTTTTTTCTTTTTTTTTTTTTTCTTTTTTGCTATCGACGTTGCCGCTCTGTTCCTCTCTGTTTGGATGTCGTTTGCAAGTCGAGCGACTGCATTGAAAACGAACGAATTTCAACAATTGAGCAACGATGGAAAATGAAGAAAATGAAGAAAATGAACGGTGACGTGCAAAAAGATGACACGTTAGAAAATTCGTAAACTGTGGATATTTAGACAGAATCGTTTGCTAAAGTAAAACTTTAGGAATAGAGATAACTGTTTCTAATAGGTCTAAATCCTCTGTAAATCTCTCTAAATGAGAATTCGCGATTGAGAACTTTTATAGAAAACAGAGTTGACAAATTATCACTCGTGAGCGCGAACAAGGTTTTCATCGACAGCGATTAATAGCATCTCCAGGCCGAGGGCTCGGCTGCTTCCGGTGGCGGCGAAATTTCTACCGGAAACTAGAGAAGGTAGGCTGAGTACCGAGTAGCGTCGTAGCTCTGGCCACCGGGTGGCAAAGGTGGTGGCGCCCCTGGAGGAAACGGGGATCGCGGAGGGCCGGACGGCGGACGACCTGGCGGTTTCACACCGTAAAGGCTGTACGATTCCTCCAACAGCTCCGTATCGCTGCACCACCCACAACAGAGATATACGTATCCGCGCTATCAGCCATCCACCAGTCAACTTTGAGATCGCGACCACGAATTTCTTTTTTCTTTCTTGCTTTCTTGCTTTCTTTTTTTTTTTTTTTTCCGTTTACGTCGCGCACAATGTGTCATCCCGTAGCACGCGCTTTTTGGAGTTCTGTTTTCCATCAGTAGGACAGACTGAGGTTAATTTCCTCAACTGACTTAATATGATTTTCTTCCCGCTTTAACACTCGGATAAATTCTTACCGATTTAATGACAACTTTTTCCTACGACCTCGGTCTATCCTGCATCACGTACGTATACTCGTACGACGTGCAAACAATTTTCACAATTATTTGGAACAAAGTAGTGCGTTTTGACAATCAAATTTGGACGAATTCGTGGATCCCTGGACTCGTTGGGTATTCCCCAAACTAATTCCAAATAATTGCCAAAACGTTGCGTAAATGTCGAAAATGTTGGCGAGAAAGTGAGAAGAATCGTGATAAAACTCGAGATGGGAGAGAGTTTAACAGAGTTTAAGCGTCGCGGAACTCCGGTTACCTGGCTTCCTCGTCGATGACGGGTGTCACTGTTCCCGAGTACTGCGAGTAGTAGGGGTCCTCGTAGCTGCTTCCGGCGCTGTAAGGGCCAGGTGGGTATCTTCCAGTTCCGGAGCCGACTCCTCCGCCTCTTTCCGGACTGCTCATGTAACCGCTTTCCCCGTGCAATCGATCTGTAGAATCGCAAAGGTTAGTAGTACGGCGACGAAGGGGGAGCAACGCAGACTGCCTAACACGGCCGAGAATTGGTCGTTCGATTGTTCCGCGCGTGGAGGGAATTTTGACCCATTGACAGGGCGTCACGATTCGAGAACGAGAAGGTCGTCGATCGATATCGATGCCGTGATAGGGTCGTGAAAGGAAAACGTATCGTCCGGGTCAAGAGCTTTCTCAAGTTAATCTCGCTCCGCGATTTTCTAACCCCGTTTTTTTAAGTGCCACTTTTTTAATTTCCAACCACTACTCGACGATATTTCCTCAATTTCTTTTTCTTTTTTTCTTTTTTTTTTTTTCTCTCGATATAAAAGTGAAATATACCAATTTCATATCGATCGATGTAACAATGACGATTCTGACGAAACGCCAATTTTAGGAATAAACAGGAAAAGAAAACTACTTTGGCAAGATGCGTAATAATAATTCTGCAAACGTGTAAAAGAGCGACGGTTGTACGTGCTGCGACTGAGAAAGTTAATTGCAACAAACCACGCGAAGAACCGTACACGCTTCGGAGGACTTTGATGGAGGATAATATTTATCCTCTCGAGAACAGGAGGAGGGTTAACAGTTTCGTTCGACGATCTCGCTGCGGCTTGACCCGGGCTACACGTCTCGAACGTGCTTCTTGTAGGATGTCAAAACTGCTCTACGAATTTTACGATGACAATAGGAAAATGGAAAGCATGATCTCATGGGGTTGTCGGCGGTTGCTCTACTTTATAGATACTGTATGCAACACGAGGAGGGTATTACGTATACACTGCAAGATACTTTGAGAGTCTTCCAAAAGGGTCGCGTCTCGTTCGACCGAATCTCAAAATGGAAATTTCAGATGCCTTTCTTTCTCTCTCTCTCTCTCTCTCTCTCTCTCTCTCTCTCTCTCTCTCTCTCTCTCTCTCTCTCTCTTTCTCTTCCACTCTGTTTCGAAACCGTTCCGTTTCGACCAAACCGCCTCCATAGTCAAACTCTAACGCACCGCTTCGTCGAGCTCAAGTCAAGTCTCTGATGCTCGTTAATAAAAAAAAAAAGAAAAAAAATTGTGCGCGAAACTTGCAAGCTGCAACGTCGAGTCAGACGGTTGTCTGATTTTACCAGAGACTTCACTCACGTTCGATCAAGCGGCACGTGCGTACACCTCGCCTCTCGGCCTTACGCGTGCCCGAGTTTCATCGCGAGACCTCTCGCTGACAAATGACCCATCGCGCGTTTGCCAACAAATGACCCAGTAAATGGAAACCCTCGACCTCCTTTCCCCTTTACTCTTTTTTTTTTTTTTTCTTTTTTTTGGTCTTTTTTTTCTCTTCACAAACAGTTTCGACATCGGAGGGAAGACGAAGAAAAGAAAGAAAGAAAAGAGAAGAAGAAGAAGAAGAAGAAGACCGATTTTTGGAACGGAGAGGGCACGCGTAGTGGAAAATCGGGCAAACGAAAGCCGGTCGCGACCGAAAGCCGGCGTGGAGGACCGAGGTTTCCAAGGGTTTGTTTTTAAGGGTACTACTGACCTGCTATACTATAGAGGGAGACCGAGCTGTCTCTAGAGAAGCGAGCCGAGCCCCCGAGGCTTCCAAGGGGACTCTTACCACACTGGTAGCTGCGAAGCGGCTTGGCCGGCGGCACCCCGCCACCACCTATCCAACCATCCGGAAAACCAAACAAAAACCAATGTACCCAGCTGCTCTGGTGCACGGTTCGCGTTTCTCCACCGGCGTTCGTCCCTTTGCTAATCCGCGATTCGCGAAAGTGCAACGATGCATTTGCACTTTGTTTCCGATTCCAAGCTCAACGCCTCGCGATACGGCTGCGCGAAATGGCGAGGGAAGTTTGACAGGCGTAAGACGACGAATTGGTGGTCGTATCGTTTCTCGACAGAAATTAATCAATTGCGGAATTAATACGGCGACGTTTTCTTCGACGAAAATTTTCAAGTTTAATACGTTAATACTAGAAAAATATATGAAACAGGAGGGAAGAAAAAGGGCAACAGTTGGAAAAAGGTAACGATATTTGCCAATTATTGCCATTATTACCAAACCTACTTTCGAAGAGTACGAATTTTCAAACAAAAGTTCTGAAAAAGATGAGGATAAAATTATAAATTAATTAATTGCGGGATCGCCAGGTAATAACATCAGGCGTCATCTCTTCGATTTATCATCGTCAATCACCTATTCTCGAAGAGCACGAATTCTTCATGAAAATAAATGACAAAAGTTCTGAAAAGATCAAGGTAAGATTAATTCCGGAATTCCATACGGGTAACATAGCGTCTTTTTCTTGGATACAGATCGAAGCGTAAAGCAGCGCGAAAACAAAACACGAAAGTAAAAGTTAAGAGTTCTCGCGACAGACATTTGGAACGTGGACATTTTCGTCATCTTACTCCAGTTTACCTCCGCGAATGCACTGTTTTGTAGACACGAAACGGATTGTCGTTGATCGTTGCTGGTTGATCCGCGGGATCGAAACGACCAGCGGCGATCACGGCCCGGAACGGACGCCGCGCGTATGTATGTATGTATGTATGTATGTATGTATGTGTGTATGTATGTACATCACACAGGGATTCGTGCTTGCATCCGCGAGTGACCAGTTAAGCGTTGGATCGTGCACGTTGCTCCTCGCACGATGCGAACGATGCGAACGAGTTTCCTATCTACGCGTGAAACCGCGATAAACCGTGGCATTTCTCGCGTATTGGTTGGCATTTCTGCAACAACAGCAACAACAACACACAACACAACGAGAGCGAGAGCGAGACTCGTTCGATCGTGGAGCAGAGAAAACAACGCCAGTGATGCGAAATCGGGGGTTTATCGGTGAGAAGCCAGGGCTAAGAAAGGACTAAGAAGTAAGTAAATGCGTCGAACGTTAGCGGGAGGCGTTTGAGGAGGGTGATTCGATGTCCAGTCGAAACGAGCGGCAGAGCGTGCGGTGAATGCAGCGAGCAAGGTAGGTTGGTCGATCGTCTACGTGCTCTCGGAGGAATGCCGAACGAAAACGCTGCGCGTTTTGCAAGATCGAACGACGGATGCGCTCGAGCGTTCTCGACGAAAGTCTGTCGTCGGGACACGACACACGTGGTGCAAGCATCGGTGACAAGTACGCAGGCGAGTGAAAGCGACACGTGATTGCCGCGCGAGGCTCGATTCACGAAACGACTCGACTCGACTCCGACACCCATCCCAGACAACTTACGATAGACGACGCGCACGAGCGTGTACGTGCGTGTATCGATTCATTTCCGAATCGTGCGAGTCTCGAGCGTTGCGGACTTTCGCGTACCTGGAGTGGCGAGAGGTTTCGGCTGGGTCGGTGTCGCGTTCGGCCCTCCGACCACCGACGACGCCGCCGGACTGTACGCCCTCATCAGCTGTCCTCCGCGTGGCAGGGTGCTGCTTCCTCCGACGTAGTAGCCGCTGCTCCCGGAAGTCGAGTTCTTCGCCGTCTGAAAATCGAGGAATCGAGTTATACCCTCTCGCTACGATAACCCATCGATTATGATAATTATGGTACGAACCCACTTACGTACACACTGATCCAATATCATTTTCCGTGAATGCATTTTTGAAATTGAATCTTTTTTCGAATTTCCCGGCTTTTGAATTTTATGATTCTGATAAGACTCTGGAACGTTTTTTCCTCTTTTTTTAACAAATTTTGACTCTGACTGGAACTTGGAGCAGATTTTTTTTATTGGAAAGATTTTTTTTTATTGCAATAATTTCTCATCGTTCACAAATACTGTCGGAAAAAATTAGAAAGCTCGTCTCTCCAAAAGAATACGTTATAAAATCTCGTTATAAAACGTTAGCCAAAGCATCACGTGCGTTGTAATTTTTTTTTTTTTCAAACGAAGAAAAGGAAAGCAAGTTTCGTGCGAGAAATCACGCGTGGCAACGCGTAACGCAAACGGTCGGCGATCTAGTTACAAAATATCGCGGAAGATATCGGAATTATACGTACGTATATATTAACGTAACATTTTTCGATGAGAAGCAAACGCGCGTTCAGTCGCGCAAAAAAATTGCACGCGAGTACAACCACCGGTAGAAAGTAAAATATATTCTGAATACAAGAACTTCTCTCTCTCTCTCTCTCTCTCTCTCTTTCTCTCTATTCCACAACTTGAATTTCAATTTTCACGGGAGCGTGTGCGTTCGCGCGAGTCCGGTTTCGAGAGAAAACGGTTTCCAGAGAAAGAGATCCTGGCCTTTGCCGCTGTTTTCGCCGACTGGCAATGGCAATGGCAATGGCAATGGCGACGAGGATGACGCAGATCGAGATAAATTCGTGCCATTTTGCGCGGAGGCCGCAAAGGCGAAGCGAAGAGGACATGCCGCCGATTTCACGCAGATTTTACGATCGAAAAAAACTTTCAGGTTTACCTCGACCCGATCACGAGACAGATTATCGCCCTCGGATAATCGTCGTGTTGCAACGACAAGACATAGCTTCGAAACACGCTCTTGACCGTCTTTCCTCCACATTTCTTTTCTCAAATTGCGAACAAACCTACAGAAATCTACAGAAACGAACGAAACTAGTTCCGAGTTTATACAGGGTGTTTTGTAACTTGTGGAGCCCACTTCGGGAGCTGATTGTACGCCTAAAAATAATGAAAAAAAAGTCAGATAAATATATGTCCTATCTGTCTTCGTTTATGAGATATAATGAATTTTATAAACAGAGCAAACTCTAGTAAGCTAGTTTTTCTAGTAAGCTAGAAATGGTATATTCAATTTTCATAATAATCATAACTGGGATGAAGAAAATCCACATGTTATTGTGCATTCAAGACATCAACGTCAGTTTAGTTTAAACGTATGGGCAGGAATAATTGATAAATTTTTAATTGGACCTTTTTCTCTTCATGGGAAACTAACAGGCACAAAGTACGTTGGTTTTTTTTCAGCACGCGTTTACACGAAATATTAGAGGAAGTTCCAGTCGATATTAGATTATTCGTATGCGGTTTATGCACGATGGAGCTCTGCCGCATTTTAGCCGAGTGGCTAGGCAATTTTTAAATCAACAATTTGCAAATAAATGGATTGGTCGTGGAGGCCTGCTCGTTCTCCGGATTTGAATCCATTAGATTTTCATTCGTGGAGACATTTAAAATCTATTGTACACGCAACATCGATTGGACATGCTGAAATACTACGAAATAGAATAGAGCAAGGCTTCCGATAAATTCGAGAAACACGAGGAACGATAGAGAGAGAGAGAGAGAGAGAGAGAGAGAGAGAGAGAGAGAGAGAGAGAGAGAGAGAGAGAGTAATCAGATGAATGACAAGACGCGTGCAGGCTTGCCTTCAAATGCAAGATGGTGATTTCGAGCATCTTTTGTAAAAAGTAATTAAAACAGAGAATTCATGATGTCTCATAAACGAAGACAGATAGGACATATATTTATGTGACTTTTTTTCATTATTTTTAGGCGTACAATCAGCTCCCGAAATGGGTAAATTACGAAACACTCTGTATAACAAACTCGTCACCGGTATTGTTCAACAATCGGGTAAAATCAATGTCCACCTTGGATCATCTTTGCAGAGTTAACGATCCACGTCAACGTATTTCCGTACGAAACGATCTCAAATTCACCGAATATCCGCAGGCACGTCGAAACGAACGAGGCGATTGCGAAACGATTTCAAGTCGAACGATCAAACGATTCGTCAATTGGCGCATTTGGTAGCAAGGTCCTCCTCCCTCTTCGACCGTACAGCCTGTACCCTCCTCGAGCCATGCTCGTTCGTCTGTCTCGCCACCGGCCTTGCTTAGTGTTGTTTACACGCGTCGACTGTTCGCCACACCGGCCCCGTTTCTCCTGCTCGAGCTCCGACTGAGCGCGACTGACCGCGGCTACCTCTCGTCAGTTATCCAGATTTCGGCGAGGAGAACCGTCATTTTGCCCGCTCGAAAAACGGGAGGCGAAGCCATCGACGACGAGACGAGACGAGACGAGACGAGACGAGACGAGACGAGACGAGGCGAGTCAAAACGCGGCAGAACGTCGTCGATTTTAGGAAGAGAAGCGTGAGAGAGCCCCTCTTGAGCGAGAAACCGAGGGGATGAACGAATCGAGATGGACGAATCGTCGAAACGTCATTCACAGGACACGTCGGAATGCCGCTGTCGCGATCGTTCGTTTGGTTTCACTGGGTTTCGTCGTTGTTCTTCAATTGCCCGATTGGGCGACGTCTACAAGGCAGGGACAACTTGGGACACCTATGCACAAGGTGGAATTTACACAGAAGGGATACATTCAGGTGAGAAACGACGAGAGGATTGGCATGATTAACCAATTAATCGATTACTCCCGCTGACAGACCAATTTTGAAACATTTCTCGAGTAACAAAAATTCAGAGAGACAACTGTTCGACGACGATTGTTCGCATTGACAAACATGCGAGTAAAGATTGCTTGACGAGAAGAATTCAAACATGGTATGGTAGAAATCAAACCACGAACGGCTGTCTATTCTATTTATCGATTACGTAGAATTACTCTATTTGTATAAAATACGTTTACTAGAGCGTTTATTGGCAAACTCCAAGTATATAGTATCAAGTACAAGTTGATTGAACGTGCGAGACGGAGATTGTCCAACGGAATGCGAAATCATTAAGAGCAGAAGGCTGGATTTGGACGCGTTTGAAAGCGTTTCTTTTTTTCTTCCTCGTTATCTCGACCTCGTTAGCAGCAAAGATCTTTGTGCTGGGTGGGTGATTTTTTTAGAACGGCGTGCGTGAATGGATACAGAAATAGAATTATGTGACTCGATAGTTTACACAACGCGAGCTTACACACAATATCAAACGGTATCAAAGAAACGAATGAATCTCGATCGAGTTGTTGGAAATTGATTTTTGGAAATACAGGATGGTGCAACTGGCCATTCTTGGTCTTCGTTTCCGAGAGACTCGAGCCTGAAAACTTCTGGGCTGAACAACGCTTGAACGTAACTAATTGAACCAGCTAAATTCCAGCGTACGTGACAAAATTTTATTTTCAAACACGGAATATCGCCGTTTGCGTGGCCGGTTGCACCACGATCTCGGAAACGAAACGAATTTTTATGTCCTGTTTTCGAGCTCGTTACGGCAATAATCGATCGATTAGAAACTAGACCAGTCGATCAACGGACTAAGAAGATTGATGCATTTGCTGCAGTTTCTGCGGTGGGAGCTGCCGGTACCGGAATTCACCGAGTTCACCTTCTGTTTGTGGATGAAATCGAACGACCTGACTCACTCCCATCCGATATTCTCCTACTCGAGTAAGTAAACGTTTTCTTTTTTTTTTTTTTTTTTCCTCCCTCTCATATTTATCGAGTGATACTTACTTTCCGGCGCGTGGCATCTTTACGCAACCAAGAAAGCAGTCACGAAAACTATTTTCACCGCTCAGGGAATCAGTGGCTTGTGCCGGCCGGTCGCGGCTTTCATATTACCTTGCCTCGAGCCGAAGCGGCTTTTACGCAGCGTTAGAAGACACAGAGCGGTGCAGTGCCACGAATAAAATAAAATAAAATAAAATAAAACGAGCATCCGTTTCGTTCAACTGTCGCTTGATGACCTCTGCTACTTTGTGCAATTCCCGGCGATACACCACTGTCGACATGGCCGTTTCGGAAGTCGCTTTGGACGAATTTGGGCTGCACGTTTTTTTGTTGATTAATTTTCGCGTCGACGAATAACTCCAAGTTGCACAGGATTTCTATCTGTCTCTCGAGAACAAAAAGTGAAATGGAATTAATGGAAATGCGTTTGCTTCCGACAGGGAATGAACGAGAACGGTTGGTCCGATCGTGGATCGCTCCGCGCGGCGGAAGCGTTCACCTTGAGATCGGTGGGAAGCAGGTGCTCGCGGTGGCCAGCGACATTCGCGAGAATCGGTGGTACCACATTTGTCTAAGCTGGGAGAGTGAGGCTGGCCGTTACGGACTCTGGGTCGACGGTCGACTATGGGCTCGAGGTCGCTCCGTAGAGGTTCGGTCGATCGATTTTTGTCAAAACTTTGTGTCTGTAGAAAATTTGAGAAATGTCGTGACATTCGATCGTTTCAGACGATAGGACACACGATACCGAGCGGAGGCGACATGGTGCTGGGCCAGGAGTACACGGACTTTGACAAAGGGCTGGACGACGGTATCGAGGGCTCGGTTGTGGGCTTCAACCTCCTTCTGGCCTCCGCTTTCGACGCGAGCAATCATCACCTCGAAGCCACCTACGATACGAGCCACGCCGCGGTTTCGCATTTTCTTGAGAGAATTCCAACGAAACTGACGCATGGAGCCGACGATCGCGCAACGATTCAGCTCGATTCTGCGTTCTCGCCGATCTCCAACGAACGTCGAGGACGTCGCTACACCGAGAACGCCGTGTCTTATCCCGCGTTGATCTTCGTCTCTCCTCGCACAGAGGAGGCGATGGTTGACGATCGTGACGCCGTAAACGCGATGAAACTCGCCGAGTGGGAAGAAGAGCCTCCGGGGCTCCGATTAATCAAATTGTCGTACGTACGTTGCGAGATTGGAAGAGGAAGTCCCTTCATTGCCGGCGGATCGATGCTCATCTCCTGGACGAGAACTCCGGTCCGTGTTTTCGGCGGCGCCATATTGAAGAACGTCGAGGGCACGTGCGGCCATTTCTAGGATCTGGTACCTAGACTGACCATAGTCAGTAGCCGCGGTGCGCACGAGCATTGGTTCGCATTTTGTTCAGTTTCCGGGAGGTTTTTAGAGACATTGTAAAGAGCAGAGAAAGACTTTGGATCGAAACTGGCTCGGAACGGGATCGGCACAGTTTTCGAACGCGGAGAGAAAGCGTTTAATTGCAGAGTGAAAATCCGAGTGGAGGTCAATTTAAGGTTCGTTGTCTCAACGACGTACGATTTACATGCGTAATTATATGTTATTGAGAGTGTGTTAATGACGATTGCAGAGCGACTCGAGATAGCGGCGCAAGTATTTATTTTTAAATCAGATCGTGTAGCATAATTTTACGTTGTGCATTCACGGACGAAGCTGATTATGCGAGCCAAAGCGTGTCTATATTCTAGAAATTCTAGAATCGTCCACTGGATCATTTTTTTTTTTTCGTTAATCAAATTATACAACTTGTTACTGTATAAATACGAATAAATTATGGAACTATTACATAGAATTGAAACAGTCGGCACAGTTGGACTGATTGTCGTTACTGAATGAGATACGCTATGGTTGTCGAAATGTTCTTTGTTATATTTTCTAAATTATGCATTAATGAAATTCTTCTAGTTTTGTAAAGATTCTACTGAGAGATGGATAGTTTTAATTGAAACAATCTTAAGATTTTCAGCAACGTGACTGAGAAACTTTCAAAGGTCCCTGACAGAATTGAAAAATTACCAATTGGCCGTTTTGACTATTCTGGCGATTGGATACAGAAGCAAAAGAAATTATTAACAAATCTGTCTAAAGAAGCTAGAACGAGTTTGTTCCCTCTTCGTTTAGAGTAAAGTACGTTTTTGCTTTTACAAATCATCCTACGATCATTTAGAATCGTGACTCGTCATCATTGTGAAAATCAAACGTCGCGGTTTGGTCGTGACACTGGAATTGGTGTCACGACTAGGATCGCGCGGATTTTATCGAGGCTTCAAGCTGTGGAGAATTGCAAATAAAACGAGTCGATATTTAGTTGACGAGAGAGGAGATTTTCCAGTTGCACCTCTCATCCTCTGTGACACAATGAAGTACGGACGGCGGTGTTTAGGTACTGAGACAGGAAACTATATCGTTTCGGACCTCGCGAAAGAAACGCGAGAATGCGGGTCGTTGCGACACCCGTAGAAATCGGATAGAAAACGGGCAGAGCTTTCCTTTTACGTGCAAACGTCCGCCAGGACAGAAGGGGAAATCTCGTTACGAATGCAAAAATTACGTTGTCTCTGTATCGAGATCATACTCTCTCGCTCTTGCAAACCTTTGGTCAGGTTTCAGTTTCACGTGGCGAATCGAATTTAGCTTTCGATGAATGAATCGACCGATCTCTTTCGTTTCTGGATTTTGTGTGTGTCGCTCGTCTGCGTCAACGCGTTTCGCAAACGAAACGTACAAAAGCAACAAGATGGTATTTGTCAAGCGTAACAGTTTGATGAGACGTTAAACGACGATTTGATTGACGCGAGTACATTCAGTAGCGAGGAAACGCGACGTCATTGTTCTTTAAATCTGTTGCTCGTTTCTAGATAAGATCTAGGTTGCTACTACCGGAACGTAGTGCAACAGCTTGCTGCAATCTCAGAAAGAAAAAAAAAAAAAAACAACCGAGAGCAGAACAAACGCCCGACGTTACAAAATCAAGGGACAGATCGATATCGCTAAGCGAGGCGGAAAAAAAAAAACACACACACACACACAGAAAAAAAGAGTAAAAAAGGTCGCGCGAGTACCCTTTTACGCGCAACTTGAAACATAGCCAGGAATACACTAACCAGTGTGTCGATCGTCGATAGAAAGAGAGAGAGAGAGAGAGAGAGAGAGAGAGAGAGAGAGAGAGAGAAATATGCAGAAATCGACTCGCGTTTTCGACCCATTTCCCGGCTTTCTTTCCATAACGGTTCGCGAGTACTTTCGCCCACGACCGGATGCACAGTGGCACGCACGGTTATGGTATAATGACCGAGACGAAACGAGACCAGACACGTCGGTAATTCGCGTACAACGAGTTTCGTAATCATTCTCACGAGTTACGCGGCCTCCGCGATCCATATAGGGCGGACGCGGTTCTTATCTCATACGTTTATCCGCGTTGGTCTCTTCTAGAGATTCCATCTCTCTCTCTCTCCGACTAGTCTTTTTAGCGAATTAATCTGAGAGAAGGAGCTGAGTCGCATCACGCGACACCGCGTCTCATTACACACGTACATGATCGTATATAAGAAATTTCATTTCTCATCTTTAGAATTTAAAACAACGAGAATTCCAATAGACGTTTCATCGAGAACCACTCAAATCCAATGTGACACAACTTCAAATGTTCTCGACGAAAGACTTGAACGTAATTATCCATTATCGATGTAAACTTACACCATTTGCTACTTCCACTGTCGTTGCTATTCGCGCGATGAAATTGTGTCACTGTCACCAGTAACACACAAGTCACGTTAGAAAACTCTTTATTAAATTTCACGAGACGCGTAGAATAAAAGTCGGATAAACGAGAAATCTTGAACCTAAGGAGATCATCGATTTAAATCCAACTCGACGAGTACGGGAGTGTGACACACATTGTTGAAGCAATTGCAGACACCACACGGTTATGCAACGCGACGCGTGCCGAGTCCAACCAACGATTTGTCCGAAACATGTATCTCCGAAAAAAACTTTCACCGGTCCAAGAACATTTCTCAACGGGCGAGATTACGAGAGATGGAACGATCATCGTCATCGTCGTTTCGCACGTTGGATTTCTGCTGGTTCTCCAGGGGTCGAGAGTCCCGACTCGTATCGATTTCGACCGTGAAACCGAGAAACCTTGCCGGTGTTTAACACGTACCGTGGTGCAAGGGCGTGGAACTCGCGAGGGCGTTGCGTGACCACCACACGACGCGGGGAGAGAATCGACCGTGTGGCTCTCGGTGCCGGAGCAACTTCAAGTTCCGTTTCCCCGATTCGACGACCCTGGTTCGTACGATTGCTTTCACTTTCACCGAAAATCGTCTGGTCAGGATTTCACGGGATTTCATGCTATATCTCTCTCTCTCTCTCTCGATGCTCTCGCCTGATCAGTGGCCTCGTGGTGTGGTCACGTAACCCATCCGAGAGGCGCGCTTTTCTTCTCGCGTGAAACTAAACGTTTCACGAATCAACGTACGGAGCGTACGAGCTTTCGTTTGTATATTTTACGACGAATTAAACAACACGCTGTCTTATTATTTATTACTAGCTATTTCTGATTCTTCACTTTCAGCCAACCGAATGACTTCCGGTTCTTTGTACAGCGATACATTATACGTATGTGTGAATAGCTATTTACACGTATCTATCCCAAAAGTATTGAACTAATGTAACATGTCTGTAAATACAACTAACTTTAAGTGATTAAAAATAGCTAGACTCTGCTACATTGAATAATTACATTGCTCGATCCTGTAATTAGAAACGTAACGAGACACGAAACGTACTGTTTCGCGTCTGTAAAAAAAAAAACATCTATCAAAAACTAGAAATTGGTCACTTTGACCACTCTGGTAGTTCTAGAACGTCATTTCAACGTTCCAGTCGTGCGAACACGCTGCCAAGTTTTTCGAGAGTAGTACTCTGCGCTGTTTGGAAATTACTTCGAATTGTGCATCGAGTCGAATCGAAGAGTTTACAAGAAACAATGGTAAAGGTTTGCTCACGTGAGTCGGCGCTCCGCTAAACTCTTGCGGAATGTCGTTTTTTTTTTTTTTTAATCGTTTCCATTGTGTCGTAATAAAGACACACACGACCGACCAGTCTCCTGTTTAGCTTCCTGTTTACCGTTTCGCTCCCGGTCCCTTTTCTATTTCCTCTAAAAGTCATCGCTGTCTAAAGTCGATCTGCCTAAAGGGGATCGATGGAAAATCGACGCCAAATCCGGTGCACAACCGCGATTTACATAACCGCGAAACGGTTGCGCAAACAGTTACGCAAAACAGTTCGTTAACAATAGAACGAGCGCAAAACTCGTATCGGAGGAAACCAAGGCACGAGGAATAGGGAAAGGACACACGCGTTCGAATCTTTAAAGATATCTGTCGTCGTGGATCTAGAAAATTGTTCGACCACCAGTACCAGCTTCGAAGCGCGCTCGGCCGTTGAAAATTCGAGAGGATCGATTAATTGCGCTAAACTGTGAGAGGAGAAAGAAAGAAAGGAGAAAAAAAAAGAAGAAAAAATTACTTGGAGACCACGTCACGAAGGTCCGGAGTTATCTGGGTTAAAAACGAACGGTGTCTGCCTCCCGGCGAACGAATTGTTCGCGATCGACTGATTTTAACGAACGCAGGACCTCCTTTTAATTCGGTTTCCCTTCTAATCGGAGAACCGGGACTCGAGGCGAAATTAGCCCTGATTTTTCTCCCCGGTCTCTCTCGAGTTTCTTTCTCGTTCTCACACAGTTTCACGCGGTTTCTGTCGGGCGAAATTTGAAAAATTGCTCCTCGTGCTTCTCCTATCTAAACTCTCGCACGTAAAGCCGATTTTTTTTTTTTCTTTTCTTTACCCAGTGCGCAATCGCGTGGATTCACGGCCATTACCGACTCGCGAACGAATCGATCGAGTCGAGTCCCCGCGTCCATTTACCCTGATTTTGATTTTCTCAAGAGAAGAACAATCACACGGATTTCTCAGATACTCGTGCAACTCGTCGCGAGTTTTCTTTCATCGGTTCTCGATCGTCGACGCGACGCGATTTTTCCAGACGTGACCGCCCACGTACATCGATTAGTGATTACTATAGCTCCTCAAAATGATATTTGTCCTAATGGTAATAATACACATCCTAAAAATGCAGTTGCTACTGATAAAAATAAAATTATTTTATCAATTAATCAAACATAATTAAGTTTAAGTGAATAATAAAATAAATTTCGTCTGATATGAAGAACATAAATTAATAAAAAATAAAATGATGCCCTATTTACGAATTAAACGAATTAATCATCCTGAATTTATATCTTTTGTAATATGAGAAATTCTTTAAAAAACAAGATCAATATTTGGACAATAATGTATAGATAACAAAAATAATCCTGAAATAATTTGAATTATTAAGAAAATTCCTAATACTGATCCAGACACACGTAGTTCTTTCACGCAGAATCTTTCACTTTCATTTTCCAGGTGTCGTCCTTTCGCCGTGCCCCGCCGCTCTATCCTTCCGGTCTTTCGCGGAGAAAGGGACAACAGTTTCATAGGAAGAGAGACAGGTTTCAGAGGAGAGGAGAAGCCTCGCCGGTGCATTTTTTCAGAAAAGACGTTTCGTTGAATTTGTGTAAATATATTGCCTGTGCAATAATTATTATACTGACCACACTTGAACATTGCTGGAAAATAGCTGACTTGGTCTTTGTCAATAGGATATTCAGTGGTCTGATCTCGTGCCCGATTATCATTGAAATGTTCCTTTCAGATCACTACGTCATTCTGAATTGCTTCACACTGAACACCATCGAACATACTATGGCAATGATGGCGAACCTATGACCCGCGGGTCGGACACTGATACACGCAGGCTTTTTAAATGACCCACACGTCGATTTTTATAAACTTATCGTCATATATATATAAAAGAATTTTAACTATTTTTCGAACTCCTCTTTTCAAGAAATGTTAAGAAAATTACAAGTGTTCGGTTAGAGCTTAAACGTGAGAAATAAGTGCATAATTGTGTTTTACGGAGGATTTATGACTTGGTTATATGTATACATATAGATATTTTAAGTCTTAAATGTTATACGAGTATAGTTGTGTCCAAAAATTTTATGCAGCGCTTACGATTAAACAGATGTAATAAACACTAAAAAAACACACTAGATTCCATTCTCAGAATGGATAGTTTTGCTAGTTTTTTATATAAAAGAGAGAACAGACAATAAAAAATATTAAAAAATAAAGTATGCATATCTAATGTATAGTGTAGGGGTGACTGGGCACGATGTCGCCCCTTTTATATCAATTTTTTGACGTCGACATTTACTTTTTACTCTTCACTTGCAAAAGTAAAAGTAAAGGAGGAGTTTTTAGAGGATTATAAAAGTGAGAACCAAAAAAAAGTAGTTTTTAACCATCCTTCCCTCCCCCTTTCCAAGTGACGCCACTGACTTAGTGACCCACGAGCTAGTACTAAAAAAAATAACGAACAAAATTTGATCTACTTCTCAAAAAGGTTCGCCGTCATTGTACTTCTATAACTCGTACAATCGTACATTTATTAACGCTAGTAGTGCACGTTGTTTTCACCCATTCATTCCCATTTTTCGAACGCTCATTATCTGGTATTTCCTTGTAATTTTTCACTCAATCTCATGCCTCGTTACATTGAAAAAAATTTTTACAACTGCATCACTTTTTCTACCAACGGGTATTTCTTTACCCGTGAAAAATGAGTGAATAAATAAATATTCGAAAAGGTAAATTACGACATGGACGATACATCGTCTGATAAAGTTTTCGTTTCTCACGAAAAATTCGCAGGTGTATTGAAAAAACGGAGTTACTTTTTGACCTGATGGAACTTTGATCCGGCAATTTCCTTCACCTCCATTTCGACGCGTGCAATTTAATCGCGAGCGGCCTGTCAATTCGAACGTGAAACTGTCGTTTTTTTTTTTTTTTTCCTTTTGTAATCAATAGCCTGGCTAGCCTTCTATATTTCCAACGGGCGAATACACACGCACGGCAAGAAGGCGAAACGAAGAACCTCGATTGCCTCGATCGAGGCGCCGGTCGCTCGATCCGCTCGATTCGCTCGATTCGCGTCGTCAGAAAACTCAATGGAGAGAATTCTCGAGAAGGGAATGGAGATTCGGTGGTCGAAAGCATCGGGGCATCGGAACTTGTTTAGGAGAAGAGGACATTTTCTGTCCCGGTTGTTTCGTAATGTTCTTTTCTCGGAGGAGGACTCGTCTGCGACTTTCTCCTCCGCTTCGATCGATTCTTCCGCGAAAACGAGAATATATCCGGCGCCGGTATATCGATTGGACGGCGAGCGAGTGAAAATGAACGCGGTCGATCGATCGAAGCGATTACGCGATTAGACGTGTTTTTTCTCGCCGTGCATTCTCGATCGTTACTTAATTAACAGTTCAAGCCTAAGCTGCGCTCGCGAAGGCCGACCGCTCGCTACCTTTCTTTTATCTCGATGAAAGAGTGCCCGCCCGTGATTCACGATCAATTTTTTCCTTTTCTCTCTCTCTCTCTCTCTCTCTCTCTCTCTGCTTCGAATTTTCAAGGTAACCGCGCGAAAAAGTTTTCCTACCAATTGACATTGATTTTTCCAACATTTGCGTGCGAGGAAAGAACCGTATATATTTTCCGTATCATTAACGTAACGTGGTAACGTTCCTTTCACGACTACATTATATTGTAACAATTGCTCGTTTTGACTTTACCGAGCGTTAAATATGCGGATCATGGGAAACGATTTCGTTTCTAATAATGTTGCAAATTTCTAGACAAATATGCAGATTAGCGTCCAAATGCCAACCTACTGTGCCAGAGTACAACAATAAACAACGTTCCAGAACAAATTAATTTGTTCCAGCGTACTTCGCTTCGTCGCGCGTTGCGAAATGAACTGGAAAATTTCGAGAGAGAGAGGGAGAGAGAGAGAGAGAGAAAGGAGAAATATAGTGGTTAAAGTTGGGTACGTAGAGAGGAGAAAGAGTGCATCCTGCGTGCCGGTATCGTGAATCGCAGGATGGCCGAGAGACTGTGAAAGAGAGAAAGAAAAAGGGGAGTCAAAGCTGGTAGGAGGTGTGCACACCTCTTGCGAGTTTACGTGGCCTACGACGAACAGAACGAGCGGACAGTTACCTTTCTGTTTCGAGACCGCGAGGATCTACCTCGTGCCACCGCCGCCGCGAGTCAACCCGGTGATTGCTTCTCTCGGTGAGTTGTTCTCTTCCCTCCCTGCCCCTCGATCCGGATTTTTCGCCCGGAACTTCCCTGCTATTCGCCCTGCCCGATATCCATCGGAGAAGACATATATACGTATATATACCGTGCATGTACGGTCAGCGCGTCAGCTTTCAATCCTCCGTGGAAACCACGCTGGCCAGATATCGAAATAACTTTTGAAATTCCGATGAAAAACGGGGATCGTTGTCTGGAACGCCGGGAACGCCTCGGAAAACCCGGAGTAAATAACGGGGATATTTCAACACTTTACATATATACATATATATGTGTGTGTGTGTGTATGTATCTAATCCTGCTGTAGTCGGTCAGGTCCTCTTCTACGAAAGTAATGGACAGGTAATTGTCAAATTAATGCATCGGACAATGCTTGCGAAATAACTTTCAGATAAGAATAAGAAAAAAAAAACTTATATTTTTTTTTCTAACAAGATTTAAACGGAAGAACGCAGAATTTTAAATTAAAATTTTTAAATCGGTCGTCGATGCGTTTATCGGGAGATTAGGGAAAGTCGAGTAACTTTCAAAGATCAAACTGCCAGAAATAATTTCGTTTGTCGATGTGAATCTGTTTTGAGAGTGATTCCATCCGAGGAAAAAGAAAAAAGAAAAAAAAAAAAAAGAAAAACAAAAGAATACCATTTTCCCGTTAAAAATTGCATTTTCCAGAGAATCGATCACGCTCGAACGTTTGCCCTAGTTTTTCTAGTTTTCCCGCGTTTTCTTTAAACCGTATTTTAATCCCGTTCTTCCTATTCCCTATACGATTTCTCGTTTGCATATTCGAACGAAGAATTGGATTCGACAAACGAGAGTTTCGTTCAACGCAGAAACCTACTCGACGACACCTACGGTGGTGGTCGAAACATTAATTTTCCAGTTTAGAAATTTTATACATTTATGACTGCGTACTTTAGATAATCGGATAATTTTTAACAAAAGCTCGTGTTCTTTATTTCATTATTACCTTGCTACAAGGTTACTCCAACGTCTTTGCTACAAATATTCTACTTTAGTCTAATCGGTAGTTGTAGCGATAATGGACCATTGACCACAAGAAAATACGCAAATCGACCTACCCCGCGCATCGTCGTTAGCTTCGCCAAGCTCCTTGGCTGCTCGATATAAAAAATGAATGATTCTCGTTTGTTCGTTTCGCTGCTTTGAATGAAATTTTCGCAACAAGCCCGCGCAACGACGAAACGCGTTCGAGGAGGCTTCCAGCCAACATTCAGTTGTTCCTCCGCTGCAAGGGGAATATCCAACGCGCCGCAACGCGTGGATTGTCTCCCGATTTTAATCGTTCAGCACCGTACCGTACCGGTGATTCATCGTTTATCGTTGGCGCGTTTCGCCAGTATGTTTTGTGTTTTATAGCCAAAAAAAACTCGTTCATTTCGCGTAGAGAGTTCCCCACGGACATGCTTCCTCGAGAAATGGAAAGTACGCGTCAATTTTATGCGTAAAAAAAAGATACAGTTATCATTTCTTATAAAACGAATATACAGACATCAATTCTAAAGAAAAAGAGGATATTCTATGGGAACAACGTTGTCCATCGAAATTGGTGACACTGTTTGATCGCTTCTTTTGTCTTTCGAAGATTGTTACTATTGGACAAAGAAATCAACAGTTTCTAGGTAGAATAATTATTGTTGTTAATACGTGCTCGTTGTTCGCGATCGACTTAACGTAATGATATTAGAATCCTCTCTCTGTATATGATACAACACAGGAGATAAAATGGGAGAAACCCGTTTTTTTCTTCTTTCTTGAGTTCCTTTGAGTATCTTTAGTTTGGACAGCATTGTTTTCGAGGATGAACAAGTACCATAGAATATTATTCTCTAGATGAATGAGTAAAAGTGATCGCTTGTCACATTATTCACAGATTCACTGCTGCCTTGTATTTCATAATTTCACCCGTGTAAACACTTTGCGCGATTCTCTGTTCTCAGATGGATCGAGGGGAAGGAATGATGCCGATCTTTCGGCTTCTCTACGGCCTGCTATCGTGGGCCATGGCACGGGCCATCTCCACGTCTTGGAACCCCTCGTTCACACCAGCCACCATTCTACATCAGGGACCCGCTCTGAATATTTACGAAAGCGGCGCCGCGCAATCTCTCTACGACGTAGAGGGTTCGTTGCTGTTGGCCCAGCAGCACCACCAAGACCAATGTGCTCTTTACAAAGTCGCGATGAAGCAACAATTCTACTTCGAGGTGAGAGAGTGAATTCCATGTTCCTAATTGTACATTTATGCCGATTGATCATCCCCTCCTCGTGTTCCATCTATATTCCTAATTCTGTTCTCTATATTCCATATCCCTTCCAACGTAATTAATCATTCCCTCGAATTGTACGAACGAAGATTTCGTGCAGTGGTTGCGTGTTGCGAGGATCCCGCGGTCGAGGGAGTTTTCACACGAGCGTGAAGAAAAGAAAAAAAAAAAACGACGCGAATCGCGACAACGAAAGCGAGAAAAATTGCCCCACGCGTGGAAATGTGTCGCTCCTCCTTGTTTTCGCGAGTCGTTGAAATCGACCGACTTTGTCGTCCACTTTTTTTTGTTTTCCACGCTATCGATCAAAGTTATTGACGAAAGGAAAACACCTTCGATCGATCGAACGTCCATCGCAAAGTCGAAATTTCCTCCCTCGCGAGTACAATTTTCGCACGCGTAAATTTTTCTGATTCTTTCGAATTGTCTGTTTCCCGCACATTCTCGATGCAGAAGAATTTCGCGAAATCACCGGACTTTTGTTCTTCTCGGATGCGTTTTCCCCGCGGCGTGTCATTTTATCCAACGAAAATTAATGGTCGATCGATGTCAAGGGACGTCGACGCGGAGCAATTTATTACGCGTGTGAGCGCGAGTGCAGGAAGGAAATTACGGCAGAGACCTTGCTCTCGCGAAATGGTTAAATCTACGAAGCAAACGACCAATTACGCAACGAATCGCTTCGCGCAAGAACGATTAGGCGCTTTCGTTTTCTCACCCAAGATTCATTCTACGTGGAAAAATTAAAAACAAAACGAAAAATTCATTTCAATTCTTCCTTTCGTTATTATTTTCCCGCGAACGATTGAAATTTACGTCTCGAGAAGTGCATCCGTGCATCTTCTTCCGTTTAGAAAATGGCAAAATGCCAGAGCCATTCCAGAAATTTTGTTACCAATTTTCTCTTCAATTTCAGTCTTTCGCCAGTCGAAGTTTCTGAACGACTGCTCGAACCAAGTGTTCTTCGATTGACAGAAAGAGCATTCATCTGGCAAAGAATTACATTTCCGGTTTATATTTATCATTGTTCGTGTTTTTTTTTTTTTTTTTACGTGGAATCGGCCTCTCCCGGTTATATCACCTAGTTATGGCACTCTCTTATAGGTAGGAGCCGATTTGTCGGTAGAAAGCGAAAAACAAGCACGCGGAAACTCGAAGGGGGAAAAACTGCTTTCTGGGGAGGGGGGAGGGAGGGGTTAGGCGAGTGACGGGTTTTTCCCGAGCGAGTTAAATCGTGCAAGAAACGCGTCCCGATCGCGTAATTCCTCGCGCGTGTAAACGATGATGAGCCGCGGATCTCGCGGATCTCGCGAGCCGACGCTCGCTTTCCATCGATTAACGTTACGTACACGTATACTCTTCTCTTCCGCAGTACGTTCACTACAAGACGGAGCTGCCAGACATCAAGGAGTTCACCTTGTGCATGTGGACGAAATTCTACAATCACAGCAACGACCATCCCTTGTTCTCGTACGCAGGTGAGCGACGCTGCTAGCTTCCTTCTCCTTTCACCCGTCCCTTTGTTTCTTTTTCTTTCTTTCTTTTTTTCTTATCCTCTTCTTTATCCTGAAAAGGAGTTTCGGACGAGCGAAAGTGTTTCTCTACGCGTTTCTCGAAGATCGAAACTGTACGTTTCTCGATGTATTGAAAACGAGAGTGTTTCCCTCGGGCGAGAGAGAAAGGCGCGAACGAAGCGAACGAGCAAACTATATACAAAAGGGCTTCATTGGGCCATTGAGGACCCAGCCAGTTGACTCATTCTAAAATGGTCAAAATGGCCATTTGAATATTTTTGAAGATTCGAGTGATTCTCTCGTAAAATACACAGATGAAATCTTGAGTGTCCATGTAATATTGTAAAAACTATAAAGATTTTCCTGTTTCTTTTATTTTTTTACTCTTTCAACGTCTCTGGTGGAAATTTTACGCTCCAGTCACACGTAGTTTCGACTAGTTTTAACACTAGAACTACCAAAATGGCCATATCTGAATATTTTTGGAGATTCGAATGAGATTCTTTCGTAAAATGCATAGATAAAAGCTTGCGTGTTCATGTAATAAGTGTAAAGAATTTTCTGTTTGTTTTGCTTTTAACGTCTCTGATGGAAATTACGCTTTGGTCGAGCGTAGTTTAGCAGCCGTGGTCCTGGAAACTCCGAATTTAGAGAAACTCAGAGTTAAATTAAACAAATGTGAAAAAATAACGCAAGAGGCTAGGCGTTTCGTTCGGCTGGAGATACTCGTCCGAGGAGGATCGCGCAACGGTTCGAATTCCAAAGAAACCCTCGGAACGTGTTTCGCAAGCGAGCTCTCGAGGCGAACGTGTTCCGGCGAATCGCGCGTAAATACGCCAGAAGAATGAGGCAATCCCGCGAAACACGTCCGACGATTTTCCCGATGTTTCTCGGCCGTATTCATTTACTGTAATGGACAAATGTCCAAACGCTCGCGAACGGAATTATTATTCGCCATGTTCTTTTTCTACCCCTATTTTTCAACGATAACAAATATCGTGATGTTTGGTGATTTTTTTGTTTTTTTTTTTTCTTTTAATTTCGTTAAGAACGTTCACAATCGATCCTCGTTGAGGATTATCAGTGAGTCAGAGTGGCACGCAGAATAGTTACTACTACTAGTGTCGATTAATGAGATACACAGGTTCGGATGTTCATTTATATAAATCTGTAGCAAAGGTCCAGGGGCTAGTATCCCTTTAGTCTTTAGTATCTCGCGCGTGGTAGACTGTAGAATTCAACAGTTGAGTGACCAAAGGATGTGCAGATGTGATATTTGATGGAAATCGATCCGTAAGATCGTATTTTGGAGATATGCGTGTCAATGATATTTCGTGTGAACGTGGGAGGAACGTTTCTCCGAGATCGGCCGTTAACCGCCGATTGAATTTGGTTTTCAAGTCGGGGATCAACCGCGCGGGATTCTCTCCTGGGTGGCGAACACCGCCAGGAGTTCCTACTACATGATGAACATCGACGGGCACAACTTGTACAGATTGAATTATCCGCTCCGATTGAACAAGTGGTATCACTCGTGCCAAAGCTGGAACGGCCGTACAGGAGAATGGCAGATCTGGGTCAACGACGAGCGCGTAGGTCGCGGGTTCAACAACAGGGTAAGTGAGCTTCGCCCGTGCTTTGCTTTTCACCGCGGGCTTTCGGCCGCGCACTCCACTCGCTCTCGAGCGCCCCCGTGAAAAAATTCGCGGCCGTGAAAGCGACGGATGATCGCCAACGCCCGCGGAAAATTATAAAGTACAGGTACATACTTCGATGTACTCTGTTAACGGCTGCGCAACTACCAGAATGGTCGATATCTCAATTGGTCGATTCGTGATTCGTTTCGTTAGAAGAAATTTCAGCGTGTTTTTCCCAGCGATTTAAATAGTTTTTAGTCGCAAAGCGTGTAAAATAAGAGTTTGTGTGTACTGAAATGTCTCTGGTATACGTATATATGGGGGAAGAAATTGGCAACAAGCCAATAACCAACATCTACCGTCGTAAAATAACTTCAAAAAGAATCGAGACAGGCGTGAGAAAATGCGTCGAATTATCACGTAAACAGTACGGAACACGTACTGTTTTTTTCTTTTGGAACGAGTTCGAAGTACTCGGGTTTTTCCAACGATCGTTTCCAATTCAAACGTCGCACGTGGAAACGAGCACGCACGTACTTTGAATTCGCGTCTGACGAAGGCTTACGCGACAACTCGCTTGGCGGGAAGAACGCACGCGAGTTGAACGAGCGAGCAATGCCAGGGTCTGCTTGTTTTTCGCGCGTCAATTTCTCGAAAGTCGGCCGCGCCAGGTGGCGTGGCGTAGCGTGGCGTGACGCCCAACTCGAATAGAAAGCGATCTTCGGAAGCGGCGGCTGCGTTCGACCGCTGGATATCGTATCCGGTTCCAGCACGAGCCATTTCTCTCATTAAACTCGCTTGCGTAACCTCTCTCTCTCTCTCTCTCTCTCTCTCTCTCTCTTCCTTTCTTTTTTCTCATCGCTCATCTCGAGTCGAACCGCCGCCGATGCAAATCGCGCGAGAATCCCCCCCCCCCCCCCCCCGAGGACGAGTCCCTCGTTTTTCCGGAAGTTGTCTCGCGCGCTTTTCCTCTCGCCTTCGTGTCTCGTCTCCGCGCGAAAGTTATTGCGCGTTACCAAGCCGATTCACACTCTATTTCCTCGGAAACGAGAATTCCACGCTCCTCGCGCTCGCTAGCGACTCGTGAATTTTCACGGAGATCCTCTCCGCGGAGAGATAAACTCGCTGCTTTGTGAAAAGAAAATGAAAAATGGGCACCGATAGTCGATATAGTTGTATTTCTTCATTGTGGAAAAGTTCCCACCTATCCTGTTTCCAATGGAAGGGAAAAGATTTGCCGTTCGCGGAAAGGCGAACCCGTGGCGTTATACGTTTCGTTTCGGTGGATATCGAGTGAAGCAGCGACTCGGCAGGCTCGCCCGGGGCGATAAACGGATAAGCGTAATCGAAGAAGGGAACGCGCGGTGAAAGGAATTTTACTATGCCCCGAGATAGAAGGTCTTGCGTCCCGGTATTATCCGCGCGCGTTCGTTCGCCGGCTGAACGAACGAACGAACGAACGAACGAACGAACGAACGAACGAACGAACGAACAGTCTCTTCTTTCTCGAGAGGTGGTGGTATTCATCAAATTTCCTGTTCGACCAACATTTTCGCTGTTATGCTGTTTCCTTCGTTCGAGCAAGAAAGCGAACGCGTTCCCACGCGTTTTTGTGGAAAAACTTTGTGCTCTATGTCCTTTGTTACACTATGTCGCCGACTTAACAACGATCATTCTCGACTCGGTGAAAGTACGAACGAAAGTACGTACGCGATTGACAAACGAAACCCTTTGGCTAATTAGCTTGCTTGCCGTTTCTCTCGGTTCGTTAGCTGGTCCGGCACGTCATCAAAGGGGGTGGAGTGGCGATCACAGGGCAGGAGCAACGACAGCTGGGCGGCGGATTTTTGGAAGGCGACGAAGCTCCTCCAGGTGAGAAACGATGTTGTTTGGTTTGAACACGGGTGATTCTTTGCGTAAAAAATAAGTCGAATAAGTCGAATTTGACCAATTTGACCGACTGAGAGAGATGGACAATCGAGACACATTAAGTGTACTCTTGACTCGTTGTTAGATATCTCAATCTAAGGTAAATCGGTCTACTTTCGCCAAAGTTTCGCTTCGTAACTCTCAGCGTCCTGTGCCGGGGTCATTTTGACCCACACGAATATCCCGCTAATACATATTTAGGGTTTGTCCGGACGGATACTGCTCACCGATACTGTACAGAGTGACGGTCCTCACCGATATTGTACCAACGCAGTGACAGACACCCGACTCATATAGGAACATGTACAAGTATAAGCAACAAATAATAGTCACTCATGAATAATAAAGTTATATATATATTTACTATGTCATTTATGTCAGGAACGTCTTGTGCAGATTGGACAAAGAAAGATTGCTCGTTGGCAATGAAGACATTGCGTCGACAAATAGAAACAACGGAAAAAAGTAGTAAAAAGAACAAAAATAATAACAGAAACGGTAAATTAATAATAAAAATAGTAAAATATTGAAATAGTGCTGAAAACTAAAATCTGAATAGTAAATGCAAAAATAATATTAAATACTAAATACAAAAATGGTATAAAATACTAAAAGAAATAGTACAAACTATTAAATGCTAAATATTAAAATACTAAAACAATAATAAAAACGCTAAAATATAAAATAAACTCTGAAATAAAATGCTGCGCGTCTTTCTTTCTCAGAACGTTACCAGAAGCTGATTTTTTTCGTCTTTAGTCGTCGTCGCTTTGGCAATTTGGCGAACACACGGCACACAGCCGCATAATCACTAATGCACAAGCAGCTCCCAACACAGGTGAAAACTGTGACCCCGGCACAGTAGGCGGAGGGTTATTCCACGCAATTCGACGTGGAAATTCATGGATTTCGTCGAATCTTTCGTCGACTCCTTTGTTCGACGAACAAAGAAAGAAAAATCAAGTTTGCTCTTCAGGATCCGGCGGGCTCCTCGGCGAAATAACGATGGTGCAGCTTTACGGGGTCGCGTTGACAGCCGGGAAAGCCCACAAGGACCACAAACATCATCACGCGAATCACTACGAGCACGATACCAGCAACAACACGCCCAGGCCTACGCGTCCTCCTGTAACCGGGCCACCCCTTCCGCAACATCCCTACCTCACTGCCGGACAAATCAATCATCAGGTGCGTATCCATCATCGTACGGAATTCGTCTCGGAATTCATCAACGCTACAACTACCGACGACCAAAGTATAATATTTCAGTAGCAAAGAAATTGAAGTGCAAGGTACAAGAACAAAATTGAACGATACAAGCTTTTATCGATATATACATATATATACATATATTTGATTAAAAATCATTCACGAGTATTTAAAAATACACTGTTTTAAATGTATAAAATTTCCATGGAGAGATTGTCAATTGGTCATTTCGACTCCTTTTTTTTTGGTAGTTGTAGCGTTAAACGAACCGAGAGCGATCTTCATCTTTCTCCTCTTTGGCGAGTAATGGTGAAAAACGAGAAAGGGAGAAAACACGGTAAACGATGGTATCGTATGGTGAAAATTCTCCAGGTGAAAATCAATCCAGGATCGCCGCTACAGATCGTTCAGAGTGGAGTGATCCTGAGGCATCCAGCGGTGATTCCACGCAATCCAGCCCCTCAACCGTTACCACCCGCGAATCCCAATTCCGTCGTCGCGACAGCGTTCCCCCTGCAATCTAGCCAGTTCTTCGGCAGTCTACGGTCTGGCGTAGGTTTGCCCTCGGCGAGCGGAATAACCGACGTGGCAGCCAGCCCGTCGTTCCGCAGTCTCTTCAAGAGAGAGAAGAAGGATTCGTTGGCGATTGAAACCGGGAGCGAGGGATCGGAGGACGCGACCGGCCGAGTATCCGCCGTGGCGAAAAGGGAGATCGACGCAAAGTCGACGGAAAGATCTACCGATGGAAAGGTAAGAGCTTTCGCCGAAACGCTTTCCAAAGGGAGTATTCTGGTGTGAAGTGTTTTTTTTTTTTTTAACTTTGTCGGGGAATTTTTTGCAAAGAAACTTTACATCACACCTTTTGCAAGTCAAATTGACGTTTCAAAATTTTTTTGCGACGAAAAAAAGTTAAAAGTTAGTGGCACTGCATACTCTCAAACATGGCCGCTTTTGAAAAAAATAAAAAAACGTGAATGGTATGAGTTTAACTATAGCAGGTACCAAAAGAAAAGAAAAAAGTCGGTAATTAAACATGTGGCGATACTTTGAAGTTCGATTGCCGATTTTTGCATGTTTCTGTCAAACTTCGGAAGCCTAAAAAAATATAAAAAATAAAACTTGATTCTGACAGGGGCTACAGTCACACGTGTACTAAATGCGTACTTCAAACTTTGAGTCAATCAAAGTCGAGTAGATTTTGAGATATCGTGGACACCGTTCTGAGAAACATAGTTTCCAGAAAAATGCCTTTAAAGTTTAGTATTGCGGCAACAATGACGCTGCGGTCGTCGCGTTCTTCAAACAACCATACAATTTCGTTAATTTTAGGTGTTCACACGTTACAGGTTACAGAGATTTATTTTTGAAACCATGTCCTTTAAGAATATGCAAAAAAA